TCTCTCTTTCTTCTCTCTTTTTTCTTTTCTTTTCTTTTCTTTCTTTCCCCACCGCCGTTTTCCTTCTCCTTTCCTGTGCGTTTTTCCTCTCCGTTCCCTGTTTCTCTGTGTGTGTACCACATTGAGGTCCAATTAAAATTTTCAATATAAGTTCATTGAAACCTATTTATCTCCAACTAATTTTTCATTAAACATAAAGTTTTACCTACAAAATATAATATAACATAAATCAAGTCAAAATTGGACGAAATAACCAATTTAAGCCCAAAAAAAAATAGAAAATCAATCCAAAAAGATATGAGAATGTCTCACATGAATATTCTACCATAGTAAGATTCCATTTAGGTAGATATCAAGAAATTGCACACCATTAAAAAAAATATAAGACACGGTAGTTCACTCAAGGTATTCACCTCAAAATAATGTTTATTTTAATTTATTTTATCCATTCAATTTAATTATTTACATTTATCTTTTCCTATTTATTTATCTTTTCCAAATTTATGCTCGCTCTAAGGCCCCGTTTTGATGAGGGCTCCAAATTATGTAAAGTTAATTGATTGGTTAAAAACGAAAATTATAATTACAAAATTCTTTAAATTAGAATTATCATATGCAAACACAAAAAATTAATAAAATTTGAAAATACAAATATATCTAAAAAGAATCACATAAAATTTATCACATATATTTATATGTCACATAAATTATAAATATATCATAAACCATTACTTTCTCTATAAATAATTAATTTGATCATTTATCTTCTCAACCATAATTTTTCTTTTTCTTAACGATAAACAAAATGTCACTTTTCTCTTCTCAAAATTTACAACCATTAATTTTTCTAATACTCTCATTGTGAGTCTTACATGGTTACACTTCAAGGAGTTGCTGCTAAAGGTGCTGGTATTCGTTTCTCACTCTAGATTCTTACATTTCATTTTATTTGTCTATTTTTTCCCCAATTTTTCATTGTCATTTTGATTAATATTTTAACTAAACTAACGCTTCTCTATGTGTTATATAGTCTAGTTTGGAATTTTCTTGATCCACTTATTATCTTTTTTTTTCCCCCCTTTTTTCTACGTTTGTACTGGAATTTAAATCTTGTATTTTTTTCTTCCAATTTTCTTGATTATGTTTAACTATTTTTTAATTGTATTTGACTATTCTAAGTTAAGGTCAACAATTCATTTTAAATACACATTTCATAGGATCCACCACTTTTCGACCATACATTCTATCTTTTTGAAAATCTACTAAAAATATGATTTTAATCTTTATCAAGCATGGGTTTAATACTCATAGGGGTCCCATATTTGAAGTTGGCATGAGGCCCCAAGTCCTTGCACGGCGGAGACAAAATTCGATATACACCTATCGGAAATGTTGAAAACAAGTGTTGCGGTGGCAAGTAAGGCCCAAAATTCGGGTGGTTAGATCACTCAGCAGTCGTGATTGTAGCAATGCCACCTGGTGGTGGTTAAGGTGATGGCGTCACTGACAAGGACCCCTCTAAGTCCTCTAGCTCTTCTTTCAAAAGGGGCATGATGTCGGAGGACGGTGGTCAACTTATTTGTTTCTACCGCGTCCAACGGAGAACCAAAGGTGGTGCTTTTTGTACTCACAAGTATCACCAAGAAAGGGTTAGAATGAGAGGGTGGTGAGTTCATCATGTTCTTGGGGTTCAATATGGGACATGTTCTTGGGGTTCAATATGGGACAGGGAGAGGTGGTAGGGTTGGTGGTGAATGGATGCCGAATGAGCATTATTCTCGGTTAAATCCACTTATGGTCACTGTATTTTATATTAAGTATCACCATAATCACCTAACTTCAAATAACGTTTCATTCAAGTCACTCAATTATTACCACGACAAAAAATTACACACTAAAAAAATTTACATATAATTATTTCCACCAAAAAAATCAGATGAGAATAAAAAAAAAAAAAAACACGCGCACACACACAATGGTAATCAGTAGAGTGGCCACGTGTGGATTTTATACTATTACTCTTTTTCTTTAAAGGCCAAAAAATTGGACCCACTTTTATCTAATTTGTGATACGAGAAAAGAGGGACCCCACGAAATTCTCTGCTGCTTGGCCAAGGTCAAAGAGAGGAAGTTGGGTGACGAAGTGAGGTGGCAACAATGGATTGTGTTTTTTTTTTTTTCAAACTGTCAAATCATGTGTCGACACTTGTTTCCCTATTTTTTTGTCATTGAACATGTTTGTGTAATATGGTTGTATATATTATAGTGGGAAAGCATTTCAACAGTGGAGAAATGCCAAGATATTTATGTGGCCTTAGGATGGTGACACGTGCTGGTCCAACAACTTAGGGCTGGAATGTAATTAATTTGGTCAAACCGTGGGAGTTGAATGTTATGAATATTTTGTATTCAAGACGGTACAATGTGGTATGAAGTGGTAAGGGTATTTTTGACATTCCAAAAATATATCTTAAATTGAAGGTAATTATATTTTTTACACCACTATTTTTATTTATTGCACCACATTTCAAATTTAATAGAAATATCATGTTTGTCCACATGAAGTTGACAATCTATGTGATGTAGCTCTGTAGTAAATACATATTCAGTCATGTAGGCAGATGCAATTACAAATCGAAGACTTGCATAGCTCTGCTATCTGTATTTATGTGGATCACTGCAGGATTGAACGAACTGGGAAAAATGAGAGTTACCTGACCCCAAGTTCTTTTCGGAAATAAGGCTTTGTAATGGTGGTGGTTGTCCATCACAGGTCTCTACAAAGATTCAAGATGAGCCAGCCTAAGACCATTAATATCATCAGCATCATTTCAATAATTTAAGATTGATTTTAATCTGATTATTTTTTCTATATTCCTTGTGTTATATTCCTTGCTGATTTCAATATGGTTGACTAAGATAGAGATTAGATTGCATGCTCTTTTCAATATGATTCAACACTGTTATGCAAAAAATTAGTTTGAATGTTATTTCAAAGACTGGAACTCTGTCACAATCCAGAAGATACATGGAGTTTGTTTTTGTTTTTGCTTTTGTTTTTACCGTGACAGATTACAATGATTTCATCCTTAGAACTTCCACAGTTTGAAAGATACTAGTCTTGTGCTTACACTTCAATTGTCTTTTGATTCAGGGCTGTGTATCTCCATCGCTCCTTTTCCACAAAGTCCGCATCCAGGAACTGAGCTACAAAAGCCCAAAGCCTATAGACATCTTCGAAATTGGCCAGGAAAGTAAGTGCAACTGTAACCACTGTAATTCCTGGTTCAGATTTTTTACTCTCGGTTCTTGTTGTTTCTTTCTCTTTGCTGTTTCTCTCCATGACTCTCTGCTTCTCCTCTTCATACTTCTCTGAGAACCAAATGTGGTTGAGAACCGCATGGCCAAGAGAAATGTTATTTCTATCAGCTAACTTCTGTACAAGAACAGGTTCAACTTTTTCCCCTTTCCAGTCATATATATCAAATGCCAAAGCAGGTCCTCGGTCAAATTTTACCTTTGGTCCATATATTGTGACCAGGGAAGCGTTGTCCAGCCTATTAGGATGCTGAAGCCTCATCAATGCGCTGACCAGCCAATTGATTAGGTACCTTCCTCTGCTACTGATAACCATCAGTCCCAGTGAATCCACTTGATCCAAGCATCTACATTCAACATTCAAGCTTCCATGTTCATCAGCTGTTTTATTCTTCTCATTCGATTCCCTTTGTTCTGAATCTTCGAGGCGGTTCTCTTTTAAACCAGCATCCTTTTGATCTCCTTCTTTAGAATTTCCATTTTGTTTGTTTTGCTCAGTAATACGACTTGACAAAGAGCTTGATATATCAATACTATCTTGGTTTGTCCCCAATTTGGATATCAGTTCAAGCTCTGTATCTGTGCCTGAAGAGTCTTCAGGGAAGCGAAGCAACTGCTTTGCTGGTATAAGGGATACAATTCCAGCCCCTGTTGAAGCTTCCAGATTTGGTACAGTTGATTTCTTGATAAAAAGGCATCCGAAACCAGTTGGATTTTCACCGAAAACCTTGTAGAAAGAGCAAATGAGGAAGTCGGGGTGGAAAAGAGAAAATCCAAAGCTGTCCATATCCTTTGGTCTCAATGCACAGGCATCAAGCAAGACATGCCAACCATTTTCCTTTGCCATAGTCATCCATTGATAAGAATAACTGGTTCCAGTTATTCTCGACTGAAGAGGAAACACAAATAGTCCCCTGTGTTTCTGCTGCTGCTTCTTCCTTACAATCATTTTCTTCAATTTTGCTGAGTGAATCCTTAGCCTTGGCCATTTGAATTCGGCTGCCATGACATAGGCTCCTCTTTTCTCTGACGTATTAATCATGGTCTCCAGAGCCTCGCTCTCATGGTCGTAAACTGTAAGTAGTTTACGACTACATTGGAAAGGATAAGATTCTGCAACAAGTTTGAAAGCTGATGACCTATTGGCAGTAAATACCATAGAGTAATCATTCTGAGAGATCTTGAGAAAATCCATGATCCTTTTCTTGAGAGCAGATTCTAATTTGGATCCATCGCCACCATGAAGCAGCTGCGACTTGAGATTTACCGACTTGTAAGTTATACCAAACACTGGACAATCAGACTTTTGAGACGGAGGATTAGACGAAGATGCAATTGTGCTTGTCGAGATGTATTGTGACTGAGACTGAAACAGTGACCGTGACTGCGAAAAAAGACCGACGCCAATGTAATCGAGGCAAACATGGTTGGATTCTGAGAGATGAACATATTCTTGAGTTCGAATTTGATCAACCTGGGCAGTCTCAGAATACTTGGGGTAAGCTTTAATGAACTGAACAAAAGATTCTTGTAAAGAAGGGATTGATTCATGGTTAGTGAACTGAGTATTTGGGAAAAAGGAGGAGTTAGTCGTGGCTGCAAAGTCGTGACGACAAGTTGCAGACGTGCTTCTGTTCTTGACGGTCGCCTGGTTGGGCTCGAGTCCTCTGAAAATAGGATTCGGACAACAACCTTCAAAGCAAACTCGTGTTACCTCCCATAGGCCAGGCGAGTGCATATTTCTTGTGTCTTCTCTGAACTATTTCAATTATTTTTATGTTTCAATTTCGACATCTTCCATGTTTTAATAGTTGTCTGATGCTTACTTATTAAGAGAAGTATGAAAAAGCTATTATTTAAAGTATGTATTCAACACTTTTTAGAAAGGGTCTTGAAAATGGTTGTTTAGCATTGCTGTATTGACCTTTTCCTGCAAATTTATCAAACTTTGGCTTTTCCTTTCCCCCCTTTCGTATCCCACCTTTCGTATCTTTGCCAAAGTTGACTTAGCATATGATGACACTTAAGAAATAGAATAAGTAATATTTCCCCCTTGCTCATATTTCACTCGCGCTAAAAAGTCTTCGAGGCTTTGATAATTTTAGCTTAGAAAAATTACTTAGAAGTTAGTCTACTTATAATTCACACATAAATTTCGCAACCTATAATCTTTATAAGAATTAGTCAATAAACATTGAAAATGGAATTGAATAGAAGTGAAGTGAGAAAGAAAAGATCAATGTGTAATGGCCGGCAACGAGATTGTATGTGGACCAAAAGAAGTCTTAGTGCGAAGCTTTCCATGGTAACCCTTGACCCAATTGTACGCGCATGCTTCTTATTATTAATGGAGTGGGTCATGGGATTTGGAACTTTCATTTATTTCTCAACCCACTTGTTCATACGTATGATTAATCTACTTGTACATAGGTGTGTACATAAGCGNAGCGTGTACATAATGTGAGTGTGGTGGAACCCACGACACTGTAGCGTAGGCCCCACCCCCACTCACATTATGTACATACCTATGTATCAGCAGCATTGCTCTCATATGTATGTGATAGTATTATCGATAATTTAAATTGAATATTAGTAATATTACTAAGGAAAATAAAAAAATTAAAATTGATGAAATTGTCCAGTCCTATGTAATGCTAATATATATGTATTTACAATATAGTTTGAGATAATTTTATTCTATGTATCTATTTCTTAACTATATCTAATTTTGTTGAGTCTTTCATATTTAACATGCTAGCTCTTGACATGCACATTTTTGATATGAACAAACAAACAACAACCAAAAACAAAAGAACCCAAAAAACTAAATTTTGTTTTAAATCAAAAACGTCCAAATATTTAAGCCGAATGACAGTTGTTTTCGAAACATTTTATTTTCATATTAGAGTCCCTTCTGCTAGCAAATGGGATTAAACAATTCGTTAAAAAAGTGCATCTTCTACTTATCAAACTTGGTTTAGTCTTTTAATATAAACATGGTGCCGGAGCAAATAAAGATTCTGAATTTGAGTTTCATTAGCATAAGAAATGAATTTAGGACTCACATGAATTCAAATGATAGTTTATATAACTAAATAATTAATTAAATATCTAACTGTTAAATAAGTTTTTATATCTAAATATTCATAATTTTTAACACCATTGTACACGAACACCAGGGGTTACCTTTAAACCAAGAAATCCTGGGCTAGGTTAGACACAAAAATTTAAGGTTCTTTAATTTGGACATAACATTCTCTGCATAATTCTTAAGGTATTAGAATGGTTGCCCTCGTTGTTACGCGACTCCTTGATCAACGTTGTGAAGTTGAACTTTACGGATAACCCGTAAACAACATGTCGTGAGTGAGCTCGACTGTCGGAGGAAGGAGGGACGACTGATCCTACTGTGATAGTAATGTTAGTTAGTGCCTATTCTATTGCTTGTCAAGAACAGTATACTAAACACGCACTACGAGCTATTCAAGGTCACGTATTAAACCGAGCCAGTCACAGGGCAACTCTCCTTTGGCATGTTATTCAGTGATAATATCATCGTAACTATAGCACTACCCACCAACATTTCATGCCAAATAAGAGAGTAGCTCTATGAATGGCTCGCTTACTGAACCCTTAATTTTCTGAATCTTGGTTCCTAACCGCTTCTTGTGGTTCTCCTTGGCTGAACCCTAGTCTTATTATTGTTAGGAATATTAGGCCTAACTCCACCTAATAAAATCGGCTTATTAGGAGAGGATTGTCCTCACCTTATTAAGTGGATCGTGTAAATATCACCAGCCAATGTGCGATTCTAATACGTCCCCTCACGCACAGCGTAGATCATGCCAAACAATTATGAACAAATCAATATTGGGTACACCCAAC